CCCACTGAGCCACAGACGCCACCCTTATTTTTTTTTTTTTAGAGACAGTTTCACTTTATCACTCTCAGTAGAGTACTGTGGCGTCACAGCTCACAGCAAACTCCAGCTCTTGGGCTTAGACGATTTTCTTGCCTCAGCCTTCCCAGTAGCTGGGACTACACGCCCCGCCACAACGCCCAGCTATTTTTATTGTTGTTGCAGTTTGGCCGGGGCTGGGTTCAAACCCGCACCCTTGGTATATGGGGCCGGCGCCCTACTCATTAAGCCACAGGCGCCGCCCTGAACCTAGACTTTATACTTTTTGTAACATCAAATCTCATAGCTTTCTCATTCCACTGACGATTATTCCACTAGGTAGGAGCATGGGAGAGTTGAGAAGGTTGGAGGACGTTATTCGAAGGACTGGTTCTGAGAAGTAGCTAAGCATTAACCTGAACTGAGACGACGATGTTCACCTGTGTAGGAGGCACCCAGAGACAACAAAGTTTCACGTTCTTCTGTCTTGGATGTCTTTTTCTGCAGAAAGGGAAAAACAGTTTTGCATCCATCCCTTGACCTCCAACCTAGCTTCACCAGACCATCGAAGGCAGTAAGGATGGGATTGCCAAGGGTGTCAGAGTCTAAAGCTTAATGGGGAATCCCAGGCTTTTAAAAAGGGAGCAAAGTCTTGAGAGCGACGTATTGTTCCTTTTTACACCTTACTACTTACCTAGTCCATAACGCACAAATGGGTAAGAGCCCAGGGAGCAGCGAACCCGAGAATCTAGCAATCCTCGGCCGCCGCAGTTTCCTTGATTCGCTCAAAGACTACCAGGACCACAATGCAACAGGCCGCCAGGCCAATTCCCAGAGAGCAGCGGGCGAGGCGCTACCGACCGCCAATCCCCTGCGGATGACGACGGGCCGCTCTGGGCCTGCGCCCCAGGATCCTCCGCGCGACAAAATGGCCGCGCCGGGGGCGGAGACGGAGGTGCCAAGGTGGTAGGCCAGTGGGTCCTCGCTCGGCCTTTCTTTCAGGCCCTGCGGGTTTCACGGAAGTAACGCGCGTCTGTAGACAACAAATGAACATAGCCTTTTCTCGCCGTGGACACGAGGACGTTCAGATAGAGCCTGTGCTCTAGAGGCAATCCCAGCATTTCGCCGCGCGACCCCGGAAGGGCTGCACAGTAAGGGGGGCCTCAGCGCTCTGACAGAGGCGCGAGGCCAGACGAGCAGATCCCCTCTGTTCGGACGGGTGAGACACGCCCTCCATGCCTGCGGGCGCGGGGAGGCGTGGCCTCCTTCTAGGCCGCCACCTCTGCTGGCTGCTCTGCGCTTTCTCGCTCAAACTCTGGTAAGAAAGGGGCTGAAGGGAGGGAAAAGGAGGGCACAGGAGGACCGGATCATCTCCACCTCAGGAGATTGGGGAGACCTTGTCCACGGACAGCAGAGGTGCCCTGCTTTCTGGAATTGACTTTTGCCCCTTCTCCCACCCGCTGCAGCCAAGCAGAGGCTTCAGAGCCAGAGGAGAAACTGTCAGGTGGGTGATTGTCTCGGAACCTGACACCCCCATGTACCAAGAGCACAGGTGGAAGAGGGTAGCCCCACATGGAATGAAGGCAAATGCTGTGCTGGGAAGGTGGATAGGCAAAGTCTTTTAGATAAATGTTTTCTGAATGGTCAGGGATTGGCATTTCTTTCCACTTGTAGTAAACACCTCGAATTTGCCGTGCTGGCTGGTGGAAGAGTTTGTGGTGGCAGAAGAGTGTGCTCCATGTTCTAATTTCCGGACTGTGAGTATCTGTTTTCTCTCCACTTTTTCTCACATCTAAGCAGTCCCCAAGTCTTATTAATAAAGTGAGCCTTTGCATTGTCTTTTCTTCCTTCTGTTTATGGTCCCAGTGTATGTCCAAATCTGTACTTGTCTTCCGAAAATGTGCCTGTTTTTTTCCCCCCAAGTTAATGGCAGTATTCAACTGGTGAGCATGTTTTGTTTATTTTTATTCATTCATTCAGAGACAGAGTGTCTCTGTTGCCCTGGGTAGAGTGTGCAACCTCAAATTCTTGGGCTCAAGTGCTCCTCTTGCCTCCGTGTCCTGAATAGCTGGGCATAGAGGCACATGCCAAGATGCCTAGCTAGTTTTTTTTTTTTTTTTTTTTTTCTATTTTTAGTAGAGATAGTCTCTAGCTCAGGCTGGTCTCAAATTCATGAACTCAAGCAGTCCACTGGCCTTGGCCTCTCAGAGTGGTAGGATTACAGGGGTAAACTACTACACTGGCTTGCTCATTTTTAGTAAGTATGCTGTAGAATCTGGCCTTGTCTCCCCAAGATTACTAACCCTAAAGTGTTCTTTCTAGCCAGGCTTGGTGGCTCTCACCTGTAATCCTAGCACTCTAGGATACTGAGGCAGATGGATTGCTTGAGCTCAGGAGTTCCAGTCCAGCCTCAGCAAGAGTGAGACCCTGGGCTAGGTTGGTGGTTCTCGACTGTAATCCCAGCACATGGGAGGCTGAGGCGGGTGAATTGTCTGAGCTCACAGATTAGAGACCAGCCTAAGCTAGAGCAAGACCTTGTCTCTAAAAATAGCCAGGTGTTGTGGCTGGTAACTGTAGTCCCAGCTACTTGGGAAGCTGAGGCAAGAGGATCGCTTAAGTCCAGGAGTTTGAGGTTGCACTAAGCTGTGGTGCCATAGCACTCTTCCAAGGGTGACAAAATGAGACTCTGTCTCAAAGAAAAAGGGCAGCACCTGTGGCTCAGAGGAGTGGGGCGCAGTCCCTTTTTACTAGAGGTGGTGGTACCAACCCCAGCCAAAAACAAACAAACTAACAGTGAGACCCTGTCTTTACTAAAAATAGAAAAATTAACTGGGCATTGTGGCAGATGCCTGTAGTCCTAGCTATTTGAGAGGTAGGAGGATCACTTGAACCCAAGAGTTTGAGGTTGCTGTTAGCTATGATAATGCCATGGCATTCTACCCAGGGCAACAGAGTGAGACTTCTGTCTCAGAAAAAAATAAATAAAAGTGTTCTTCTAATACATGGTACTAATCATGTAACCACCATGTCCATGTCCACCATCTGAATCAGAACTCCTTATTAGCTGTTACTTGCCAACTCTGAGCCATACCTGGGCTCCTGCCCCTTCTGATTGTCAGCCTTTCTATTTCTCCTGTTGCTTCTTCCTAACATGTATTTTTTTTTTTT